CCTTCTCATGAATGCACATCTTTAAACAAACACTCTGTCACTGATACAAAAAAAAAAAAAAAAAAAGTAAATTTGCAGCTCCAATTTAGGAAATTTGTAACATTAGAGGAACTGCATCTATCCACATACTAGCTATACCTTGTTATTGATCTGTTTTTCTGTATTTTCTCTATCTAAATGGTTCCAATCCATCTCTATTTCCACTTTTCCATGTTAATGTACAGACCTATAAGGAGTCCTGGTGTGGCACTATAGGACAAGTACTGGACTGCTAACCTCAAGGTAGGCATTTCAAACTCACCAGTTACTCCTTAGAAACCCTATGCAGGGACGCTGAGTTGGAACTGATTCATCGGCACGTAACAACAACATAAATCCTTATAATGTCCCTTGCAAAACCAAAGGGTTATTAAAAACTTACCTGAGATATGTTCATTTTCTGCTCCTCCTAGAAGAATGTAGAAAAGTGTGAAGTTTTAGCTAGAAAGAAGGGAAGAATATGAGATCAGAAGAGATCTGTCTTACAGTCCTACACTCACCTGCCTAAAAATCTCATTACACAAGCTGGAGAAAAAGCCTTAATTCTTGAGAAAGAGCAAAAAGCATCACATAAAAGTGGTGGTGGTAGTGTGCCAACGAGTCGGTTCCGACTCATAGTGACCTTTACAGAGTTTTCAAAGGTGAAGTAGTACCCCCTAAACATGTGCATCTCTGACATGATCGTGTGTACTTCATCTTGCATTTTTAACAAGTAACCACTTTTCTATTGATGTGTTTACAATGTATGTACCCTTCTAACTAACTAAAGAAAACGAAAGATAGGTTAATCAAATTCAGGTACACCTAAGATAAAACTCTCTAGCTTCATTAAAACTAATGCTGAAAAATTTAGGCTGTACTGTCAATCAACTTATTATTAATTTTGACTTTACATCTTGAGTTTGAACAGTCACCAAAAAACTCTTGAAATGGGGATGAGATATTTTATGTACTGACTATATAGTTTTTAACTTTTTGCTCTAAATTGTAGTTCTTTAAAATGACCTTTTGATAAGACACTTAAGAAATGTACCTGTGTCAGTGAAAAGCAAGCATCATGTTTTGTTCCTGGTTCTGCTATGGGTGACACTATAGGATATTCATTTGAAGGTCAATTTTTTTTCAGCTTCCAAAGTGCCCAATACAGAAAACCCTTCCAGAACTATCATTTGTCCTTCCATATATCTCCAAATGTCATACATAGTAGACAATGGTCTAAGAGCAGAATCCAAAAAGAGAAAAGGATGGGAAAGGAAGGCCTTTTAGGATCCATGCTCATACCTCCTAACCAGTAAAATGTTTATCCTCTGTAGTCTGATAGTTGCCCATGCCTCTCAATCTCAGGTCACCACCTTCTACAAGGTCTACAGTGTCCACTACCACAGTCTGTGGTGGCTTCTGAATACAGTGGTATCAAGACTCATACTATATAAAGGGATCAAGAACGGATCCTGATGGAACAATCCAGACCTACTCCTTTCTGGGTTCTTCTGGCTCTACTCTGAACCTCTCATGAAGAGTATATATCAAAAAGGCTGTTCTACCAAGTGACAGTTTTGACCCTGGGCTTCCTGGCTCCTCAAAAGAGACATCTTGTTCCACGGGGGCTGTGAGCTAAGTCCTGGGAAATCAATTCAGGTTATTTGAAACTTTCATTTAAGACCCCAAACCTGATTCTTTTGGAATATAATCCAACTGTGAGCTCCAGTATTGTAGCCCTTAGCCACATGAAACTCTTGAGCACCTAAAATATAGCTAGTGCCACAAGTTAAAATAATATTTTCGATGTATTCATTTAAATAAAATACATCAGTAAAATTACCTTCACCTGCCTCTGGTGGTGAAGAACATGAAATATACTGCGGACTGCCAGAACAAACAAATCAATCTTAAAAGAAATACAATCAGACTGCTTCTTAGAAGTGAGGATGGAAAAACATTCGCTTGCTTCCTCTGGTCATTCATTAAGAACAATGACTAGCAAAGAACATGTTTGGTAAGGTAGAGGGGCAATGGAGACAAGAGAAACCCTCCATGAGACAGATGAACAAAACAGGCACAAAAATGAATTTACACATTCCAACCAACATGAACATGGAGTAGGATGGTGTTTTTCATCAGTGTTTCTCATTACCTTTCTATTGGACAGCAATGCACTGGAATATCAAAATGTACCTTTGGGGACAGAGACCCTGGACAGAACTGAAGAGTTGCAGCCTGTCGGACCCAACGGCTCTGAAATCCTACAAATCCCAGAACATACACCACATGGTGAGATTGCATCCATGTTGACTTGGCAATCTTAAAGCCAGGACTTTCTGCTAAGAGCTCTGAAGGTTGCAACTCTGGGTTTTAGGCAGGTAGAACAGTAGGAAGAGCAAGAGATTGGGAGTAAAGCAAGTCATTATTCCCATCCCAGCTCCCTAGGCTACTAGTTTGTGACATGCGATGATTAATTTTGCCCTCTGGAAAATCTTTTAAGGGGCATGATTATAATAATAGGATTGTTGAGGCTTAAATGAATTACCAAACAAAGTGTCTCTTAATTATGAGAACACTTAGATTTACATAGAGATTATTACAGACACTTGACAAAATGTTTTATGGATGCCAAATTATTCAATTCTCAAAATAAGCCTAGCAGTCAGTTAACATCCTCATTTGAAAATGAGTAGTAGCCTGATTCTTAACCCACATTATTTATCCCACCCTGGCTCACAGGTGGACGGATTGATCCTGGTCTTTCTAGCTCAGTTAGGGACTAATAACACGACTGGAGGGTCCGTCTACCCAGAGGATCCTCAAAAGAATGGTTTAGCAATTTCTTTCTGAGAAGCCAGCCATTGCAAACCGTCTGGAGCACACATCTACTCTGACATACATGGGGTGTCCACTCTACTGCAACTGATACGGTTGTTTTTTTGTTTGTTTGTTTGCTCTGGTCTCAGGGATCCCCAGACCCAGGAGAATGAAGACTCGTGCTTTATTATAACGTTGATAGCCAACTTGGCACGTTGACTATCAACGTTAAAAACGCACATTCCCTTCCCAACACCAGCTTGGCCTTTCCTCCAAACGGGCTGCAGGCTGCGCCGGGTTCACGATCCAGGCACACCTTCTCCTACCGACTCAGTTCCACCAGCGTCCACCGAGCCCAAAGGGTTCGGGAGGTGTGTCTAGCCTAAGGTGTCCTATGATCCCCTCTCCTGTCCCCAGGACCCAAGGCTACCACTCCCGGCAGGTTCCCGGCGCTCTCACCCCAAGTGTGTAACCTCTGCTTCTGCGCGCACCTCAGGTTGGGAGATCGCCTCAGGTTCAGGACAGATGAGGCAGCATAGAGGCGGTGGGGTGGGTCAGGGTGGGAGGGAGTAACGGGGGACTGGGTCAGCACATGCGCAGAGAGAGGCCAGAAGTTCCGCTCCCAGAGTGTTGTGCGGTGAGCCAGGCGGAGTCAAGACTACATTTCCCATAAATCTCTACGCCCACAGACTCGAATTTTGAAGAGTTTTGGATTATTCAATCCAAAAAAACAAAAACAAAAAACCCACAGTCACTTACCTCATTCCGATTCCGCGAACTTTGCAGCGTGGAAATGCTTCATAGGGCTTCCGAGGCGGTAAATCTTTTTAGAAGCAGACTGTTACTGTTTCATCTTTATACCTCTGAACATGGTGGTTAACAGTGCAGTGCTTACTTAGCCCACCAGGACCCACTACCATTAAGCAGATTCTGACTCATAGGGTTTCTGAAACTGTAAATGATTATGGAGCAGCTAGCCTCATCTTTCTCTCACAGAACACGTTGTGTGTTGAAATGCAAACCTATTGGGTAACAGTCCAACATCTAACCCGACAGGGACACAAAGGCTACTTTTAACTGCAGTGATGGTCTTGGTTTTGTATAATGGAGTGGGGTTGTGACCCTGTATAGGGTTTCAGAGGCTTTAGCAGCTGGCAGATTTCAACTGCTGACCTTGTGGTTACCAACCCAACTTTTAACCTACTAAGCTCCCAGAGCATCTTCTAACATCAGAAAGGGGTTAGAAGAGGTACCCAAAAAAATAAAAAATAAAAAGGTACCATGAAAGGACCATAGGCCCTGACTGATGTGACTTGAGTTTCTCCTTAAATCCCAATGCTATGAGACAGACTTTGACAAAGAGGTAACAGTCAAATCTTGGTTGGAGAAAACACCTGCAGGAGAAATTAACAATTGAGGAAACATAGACTGAAACAGAAATACTAGAGATCACTGTTAATTTTATTATGGGGATATTTGGGATAAGTATGACATTTTTCTTGTATTTTAGAGCTACACACTAAAACATTTACAATTATGAAATTATTTAAAGGTAGTGTCTAACTTGCAAAGTTACAGTTGGAATAAATTGCACACCACCATAGGTTTTCTTTTTTGATACATCTTTATGATTAGTAATATGTGCTACATGTTGTTGTTGTTGTTGTTAGGTGCCATCTAGTTGGTTCTGACTTATGTTCTTGTTGTTGTTGCTAAGTGCTGTTGAGTTGATTCTGACTCATAGATACCTTATATAGGCTACCCAAGGAGCAATTGGTGGGTTTAAACTGCCAAACTGTGGTTAGCATTCCCTTCTGATAGTATGTCCAAAGTTTGTGAGAAGTCTCACCATCCTGGCCTCTAAGTAGCATTCGGGTTCTACTTCCTCCAAGACACATTTGTTTGTTCTTCTGGCAATCCATGGTACTTGTAGTTAGTAATCCAGTGCTTATCCTACAGTGCCACACCAGGAATTCTCTAACTCAAGGTGAGCCTATGTATAATAGAACAAAACATTTCCTGATCCTATACCATGCTCACAGTTATTGCTACATTTGATTCCATTTTTGTATCCACTTTATCAATCCATTTTACTGAGGGTCTTCCTCTTTTATACTGACTCTCCACTTTACCATGCATGATTCCCTTATCCAGGACTAGCCCCTTCCGATAACATGTGTGAAGTATTTGAGATAAAGATTCACCATCCTTAATTTTTAAGAGCATTCTGGCTTCCAAGACAGATTTGTTTGTTTTTCTGGCAGTCCATAGTACTTTAAATATTCTTCACCAATGCTGTAATTCAAATGCTTTGACTCTTTTAAGTTCTTCCATATTCATTGTTCAGCTCTTACATTCATACATTGTTGTTGTTGTTGTTGT